TTCCTGCTCCTGGTCCCAGTTACAGTCTCCCACTTACCAGAATGTGGTCAGGCACAGCGTATTTTGCTATCCTGGAAGCCACTATGGTTTTGAGCTCTTCTTTGACACGGTCTATATGAGCTGTCTGCTCCTTTAGCACTATGAAAGCAAAGGCACCTGGAAGACAAATGAGCAGAAGCCACATACCTCATGTTAGACACTGGCTGGCAAGACCAGGGATGCTCATTCAAATGCCAAGACAGGTTTCAAATCATTCCTATGTGCAATCTAGGGACTGCCAAGAAAACCATAGATCCTGTTTACAAAAGGGAGTCAGACTCCAGCCCTCAAATGATGGCCCAGCCTTCTCTTGGCATCTATGGACCAGACTGATCTCAGTGGCAATGACAACTCAACATAAATTACCAAAGTGTCACTGGGATCAAAAGCTGGCCAACGGCAAATCAGCTATTCCCGTTCTGTTCCAAGGACATCGCTAAGCACAATCCTTTTTAAGGAAGCTCTACCACATAGGTAAACACTATGTGTGAAAACTGTTTAGGGGAGTAATACCTGCACCCAGCTTAGGAACATGCAGTTATTTTTACGGCTGTGTTTGCCTCTTGGGGCTGCAACACCAGTCAGCCTAAGGATAACTGCCCTCCCATTCCCTAGGCACCTCGTAACACGGAGCCCAGGTTAGAAATTAAGGAAAGTGTATGCAGGTGTCACGTCAGGACACTGCTTTTCACATACCTTCTCCTTTGATCTTGTGTGGATACCCAATCACAGCTGTCTCAGGGACCTCAGGGTGATCAGCCTTCACAAAAAGTGAAACAAAAACACACAGAGCATAACAACGGCTTCAAGCCCTGGGGAGTTTGCACCATTTGCTCTAGGAACAAAACACCTTGCCATATCTCACCCTCCCCTTGGCAGATCCAAGGAAAGCACAACAGGGAAGCTGGATGCCGCCTTCCTACGGCATGCTCAGTTGGTGGCCCGGGCCATGGCCATGTCTCTGGGAGTAGCACTTACTCACTGGATTGGCCCTGGTTTTAAACACACAAATAAGTACTCTTACAGACACTGCTAAGCCCACTGCACACCAAGCTGCATTTGCACCAGCTCGAAACCTGCTTTCTCTTTCTTTGTCTGTGCTCTTGTGTGTGCATGGCTACGGTCCCAAGTGGTGACTGGCCATGGCCAAATCACAAGCAAAACCAGTTCTGCATTGCTCTGTGCCACAGGGAACTGTTGCCAGCAGAGCAAAAGTGAAGCTGCCAACATCATGCTCCACATCTGACTGGCGTTTATAAGTGCCCAAAGCACAGCAGAAGGCAGAAAGAATCAGGCCTTTTCATCTTCCCAGAAGGGGGGAAAGGTTGTTTTGCCAAATGCATTTTTTTATTATTACGCTACACAACAGTGATTTATTCTCTGTCACACTTCAGAGTTTAATTTAACATTTTTCTGCAGTACAAAGACAATTTGTGTACAGACCGGAAGAAATCACATATCTGAATCCCACATCAAAAACTGGATTATGCTATCTTAAATTAGATTAAAATATGAAAGAGTACATCGCAGAGCAATCTAAGCATGTAAATATATTTGCATATACACATGCATACACATACATATACACATGCATACACAATCTAAGCATGTAAACATATTTGCATATACACATGCATACAGAGTGGGAGAGGAACTGGATCATGTACCTATGATCAGAAACCCACACAGCCAAAAAATTTACTCAGAGGAGACAGCAGGATCCTGCGTGCCATGCGAACACAGCTCAGGTTTATCAAACATTACATTTAAGTGCCATTTGCAGGCAAGGCACATAATATAGAAATAAATATTCAGGTCAAGCTTTGAAGGTAAATGCTCTGAGGACTTCTTGTTTTCAATTCTCTGAGCTAATATTATTTTCTCTCAAAATGACAGGCTAGCTTTGCAGCTGACATGAATCAGCGTTGCTTCATATTTAACACTGCTGAATTCTCAGCATACTCAGCTAGTTCAGACGACCAAGAACCACAGATTTGGGAAGGAGAGGCTAGGTGTTAGCAGAGGGGAAGGAAGAAACAGGAGAGACAATCCCTTACGGAGACTCCACCAGCATCCAAAATTACAGCTGCCACAGTACAACGGCACTGAGAGGAAACAGCTCGGACAGTTCGACTGCAGGGACTGCCCACAGTGTGACTGCTCTCACTTGCCCGTTCGCCATCTCCTTAATAAGGGTGCCGTTTCCTTTTGCACGTTTGCTATTCGTTGTGCATCAAGCTGCTGTGCGTATGCAGGGGCAGGGGTTTGAAGGCAACAGACCCCGCACTTGTTTAAATTCATAAAGCTTCTTTCAAGGGGCCACCCTGCCCCACGATATGCCCTGTCAAGGGACCTCTACCTGCTCAGAACTTACCATTGCATCTTCTATCTCTGCCGTCCCGAGCCTGTGTCCGCTGATGTTAATGACATCATCCATGCGCCCCGTTATCTGGTAATAGCCTTTCTTGGTCCTGTAAGCACCATCCCCTGTGAAGTAGTAACCTACAGCAAAGACACGTGGGTGGTCAGCAGCACAAAGTGTGCCAGCCTGTTGCTTTGGGCTCTGATGCAAACAGACTATGCTCTAGGATGGCGAGTAGGGTAGGGTGGATCAGGCAGGACTCCTAAGCTTACAGCTGCATGACCTGCCACATACCATTTCCCACTTGCCTCTGCCATCTCCAGCCTTCGTCTGCTCTGCCTGGGCTGTGCTGGCTCCAAGTAAGCACCTGAGCAGCACCAAGACAGTGGAGGTCAGATCTCTGCCAAGATGGGCAAAACTACTGTAGGCAATCAGCAGCAAACAGTGGCTGATGTTCCCTGTAGGAAAACCGGGTCCAGCAACACAACACAGTGATGCTTTGTTGAGTTTACAAAACCAAGGGGGGCTCTCTGATCTCCCTGGGCTTTACACGCCTACAGCTGCACAGCAACTGCGTGATCAGGCCTGGTGCACACAGCTCTAAGATAAAACCACTTCAAATGCCATCTGCCATCATGCCATAGGCTACTGGTCAAATTCAGGTCTGCTGCTAGCTGCACCTCAGCACTCATGGAAAACTAAAACTGTTCAGCTGAAAGGGAACAGTTCTATTACATTTTGTACATGGGAACACTGCCAATTTTTTTAATCACTTACACTGGGACTGATGAAAAGCCATTTCCCCTCCTGGCTAACAAAGATTCAGATCCCAGATAACAGGCCCTCTCCAGTATATGAACATGGCAGAACCACTGCTATCAGATTAGCTGGAAAAAAAAAAAAAGCCCATGATAAGCATGGTGTTTGGAGAGTCTAAAACTTCTGATGGGAACTGAAAAAGACCCCGTGGTTCCAGGAAACTCCAGTGTCACTGGGGACACATCGGGTGACACAGATTGTGTTGGCTCTTCATCAAAGCCATGTCCGCATCTGAATTGTTCCTGTGGCACTTCTGAGCAGCAGCAGGCAGCTAGTGCTGCGAAGTCTGAAGGTGGTGCTTGCCAGGACCCATTGTTGGCCAATTCATGGACTTTCAGTCATGCCTCCTGCCCTTCCAAATCAACTAAATACCAACAAGATTTCAGATGCGAACATGTAGTGAGTAATAAGGGACTATGGGCTCATTCAATTTCGTCTACCAGTTTCCCATTCTTATTTTCCAACTGTTTTTGTACAACTTACAGGGTTGTCTCTCTAATTCTTGTCTACCTTGTAGCTTTCAAATCCCTTTCAGTTGCTCCCCGAGTGTCCAATCTTCTACAAAAAATGTTTCCCTGCCACTTCTAATTACTGGCCACACACAACTTGACCATGTTTTAAAGAAGGAAGGATGTAACACAGCCTGTGACTGCAGCAGTGAGATTCAGTGATGTAGGAGGTACCTTCCCATCCAATATGGCCCCAAAGAAAAGGTATTTGGACTTTAAAATCTGGGCATTAAAAAATTCTAAAAAATACATTCCCCTTTGACAGCTAGAACACTATCTAAGACCATTAGTGCATGCTTGCAACACGTGACACACAACCCCAAGGAACCAAGATCTGGCTGGTACAGAAATACCACCAAGTGCTGCAGAAAATATTTAGTGTGCTTACACTGCAGCGCAAACTGCCTTCCGCTGGCACTTTCCTTACCTGGGTAGGCTTTGAAATAGGCATCAACAAATCGCTGGTCATCTCCATAGATTGTTCTTGCCATGCCAGGCCATGGCTGGGCAATGCAGAGCGCACCGGACACATCATTGCCCTCTATAACCTTTCCCTGCAGGTTCAAGCACAGGAAGGATGATCAGGTGAACAAAACAGGAATAGTAAGTGCTTCTGTGTCACTGATCTGGCAAGAGTCACCCTGTTGCTCACTCCAGACTGCCAGCGGAGGGCGACAGGTGGAGAAAATGAATCCGCTCCTGGAGCTGCTACGCACTGTCTGTGTCATGCCTTCCTCGTCCCTTGAGGCCTGCAGCAGCACGGCAGGTAAGACAGTTGTAAGACTAAAAGAAAAGTGAGTCCTGTGACTCTCCGGAGGGCAATGCCAGCAAAGATGACAGCAAAGATGTGCTGAGCAGCCAGAGGATGCCTGGGATGAGGCTAACAGTGAAATGGCTGGACCCCTGCCTTCCACTTTCACTTTTGTTAACTGCCACGTTCCCTTACCAAACTGTGTATGTGGGAGGTTACACGCTTTACTGTTTAACAGGGCACTGGAGTGCAGATGGGGATCACTCAGCACAGCTTCGCAGACCAGCACCAGTTTTCTCACAGACACGCACAGTTGCAAGGCCTCATGCCTTTCATTTTCCTTGGAAAACTCCACCAGTCCTGTTGGCTGCTCCAGCCTCGCCACGTCACTGGATGTTGCATGCACTGCTCCAACTGTTCAGCTCGCCGGTTCCCAGGAGCTGTGTGACCTCTGACTGCTCTCATAAATGGAGGTAGCAGCTCTTAATCAGAAGCAGTGTAAGATCATAAAAGTGGTGCTGACACTCCTCTAAGAGTGAGGAATGGGTTTTTTCCCAGGAGCTGTGTGATTTCTGACTGCTCCCATAAATGGAGGTAGCAGCTCTTAATCAGAAGCAGTGTAAGACCATAAACGTGGTGCAGAAAATGCAAGCACTCCTCTAGAGATTTGCAGACACCTTGCAATGCCCAGCTGGCAAGCTGTATGGACATTTGAGATATGCCCAATATATAAATTGCTCATCTATTCTACTGTTTTCATGGAGGAACAAACATCCTTCCAGATCCTGTTCCTCTGCCATCAGAAAGGTGATCAAGGCAGAAGCAGAAACACACAGCAGCTTCTCTTTCGGGTACCCAGCACAGCCTCAACTCACATTCTCATCCATCAGCACGGGCACAATCCCAAAGAAAGGTCTCATAGCCATAGCTGGAACGATCTCAGCTTTCTCCTCTGAAGGCCGTGGGGCAATGCAGATGCCACCAGTTTCTGGAAGAATAACGAAAAACACAACATTTGGGGGTCCATCCAATGCTGGATGAAAGCAAATGCCAGCTCTTCTTAGTTAAAGAAGAGAATAGCAAAGCCACCTTGCAATAAAAAGCCACTGGGAAGGAGCTATGCAACACCAAGTAGCACAGCCATCTGAAAGCAGCCCAGATAAACCAAAGCAGCACTGATAAACCAAGAGCTCTTTGTGAATACAAGAAAGGCTTAAACGTAGAAAAGTGTCTGGCAAGCCAAGATGACGCCACCAAGGCCTGTTCTATCTACAGGGACGCTGCAGCAGGCAGAGAGCAGAGAGCTGCAGGCAGGTCCCCTCGCCTTGGTGAGCTTGGATCAGGAGCTACTCCTACTCCCGTTCTGCACGATGCACCATTCAGTGCTGGCTGTGAAAATTGCTGCCCTCCGTGTACATCGGTGACAAACCACAGAGTGTGGCCAAGCAGCCGCCTCAGGGGAAGAGCAGCTCCCCATGCCCCAGAGCATCAGGTTCACTGACGTTCGGCTTAGCTCTTCGAAGGCTCAGAGGAGAGCAGTACACAGGCTACAGCAGCTGGCTTTGCACCAGACGGGCTGCGGACCCTGCAGCAGCAGCCACGACGTGTGCGTTCAAGAGCCGTCCCACAGTCCCCTCCGTGGCAAATCAGTCAGGCCCAGTGAAGACCCCAACAATTCAGCCCATGCTCTGTTCCCGAAGTCGGCTCACAGACAAACCCATTCCTCCAGCTACCAACCAGCAACGGATACAGGCAGCTCTAACACACACTTACACCCTTGCAGATCCCCACGCTGACAGGGCTGCCTGGTGGCGGGGGCAGTACGCGCCAGCCCCATTTCCTATCCTAGAAGTGATTTTCCAGGGCACATCACAAGCATATATAAGCACGTCAGGGGATTTCTCTCCCGGTGCTGTTTTTACAGCTGTCTAAGGTTAGCTTTTCAGCACTTCAGGAGTCTGAATTACTATTATTACAGAGTATGAGATTAACCCACCCCTTAAAGGCAGGTTGAGCTTATCTTCTATTCAAAATTGAACCTTTTATCATCCTTTTTCATTCCTG